CAGGCTGGACTACAGTGGCGTGATCTTGGCTCAATGCAACCTCTGCCTCCTGGGTTCAAGTGAGTGATTCTCCTGCCTCAACCTCCTGAGTAGCTGGGACTGGAGGCCCAGGACACCGTGTGTGGATAACTTTTTCTCTTTAGTAGAGATGGGGTTTCACCATGTTAGCCAAGCCTGTCCTGAATTCCTGGCCTCAACTGATCTGCCTGCTTTGGCCTCCCAAAGTGCTGGGATTACAGGTGTGAGCCACTGTGCCTGGCCTGTATTGTCGTAATTCTTTATAATGGACATGTATCATTTTTTTTCTTATTTTTTTATTTTTTTTTCAAAGACGGGGTTTCACCATATTGGTAAGTCTGGTCTCGAACTTCTGACCTCAGGTGATCCGCCTACCTCAGCCTCCCAAAGTGCTGGGATTACAGGCATGAGCCACCGCACCCGGCGACATGTGTCATTTTTACAAAAACATTTGAGTATGTGGCATGTGGCAGTTTCATCTGTCAGGCTGCACATGACTGGTTGATTACAGTATGCAGCCCAATCCCCAAGCTGTGGCCCAGGTGGCTTGGAATGGTCTTTGCAATAACATCATGGCAACTGGATTGGTTATGCATGAATTGTGTTGGTTGCTTGGTAACAATGTCAATCTATGGAAATTTTATTAAACCAGAAAAGGATACATCCAGAAGAGGGTACATCCAGACATTTCTGGGTAAACAATTTATTTTTGAATCTTCAATTTGGCTTTTATTTTAAAATACTTTTAGCGTAGAACAGTCATAGGGCAGAAAATAATAAAACACAAAGAAATGGAAGATTTCAAGTACCTAGACATAAAAATTAGACATAGCATAGACCCAGGTTATGGGAAACAGTCTGTAAAATTCTATTCATTAAACACAATTTGAAAGAAAAGCTCTTTTCCAGTGTACCACTTTTGTCCTACCTGCCTTGATTTCCTTTTAATCCCTAAGTAAAGGGTAAATTTAGTTGCTTTACTTAAAATTATCAGCTTCAGTTTTGGTAAAAATTACCATGCCCTTAAAAACTAGAGTTATCAAAAATATGAGCCCAAGTAGTTCTGCTGCCCTAAACAATTTATTGAAGCATGTATTGGCAAGTATTTCTGCTGATATCAACTTTTCTTCATTTGTTCATTTTTTTTTTTTGTTATGATATATAATTGTGCCATTAAAAAGCCTCTAAATGAGGCTGGGCGTGGTGGCTCACGCCTGTAATCCTAGGACTTTGGGAGGCCGAGGTGGGTGGATCACCTGAGGTCAGGAGTTTCAGAACAGCCTGGCCATCAGGGTGAAACCCCATCTTAAAAAAAAAAAAAGCCTCTAAATGTACTGCTTCTTTCTTTTAGCTAAGGAAGGAAAGATGATATCGTGCCCTTTTTTTTTTTTTTGGAGATGGAGTCTCGCACTGTCACCCAGGCTGTAGGGCAGTGGCATGATCTCAGCTCACTGCAATCTCCACCTCCTTCCTGGGTTCAAGCAATTCTCCTGCCTCAGCCTCCCGAGTAGCTGGGACTACAGGCATGTGCCACCATGCCCATCTAATTTTTTTGTATTTTTAGTAGAGACAGGGTTTCACCATGTTGGCCAGATGGTCTCGATCTCCTCACCTCGTCATCTGCCTGCCTCAGCCTCCCAAAGTGCTGGGATTACAGGTGTGAGCCACTGTGCCTGGCCCTATCATGCCCATTTTTTAAAACAAAGAAGCCAAGCCTATCTTGCCCAATTTCTTATGGTTTTCAGTTTCCTATGTATGAGAGTTGGTGCTTGCAATGATCCTTTTCTCATCATTCCAAAAAGATGAATAGAACTGAATTATTCAGATTTTATTCTTCTTGTCTGTTACAGATATGAGAAAAGGAAGAATAACTTTGCTCCCCTAAAAATATTTTAAAATTCATAGATCTCTTTATTAATTTTCAAGTGTTTGGATGCTTAAAGAAGATAATTTGCAGACGGCTTTTGGAATCAATTAGCATGGATCCCAGCAGTGACTACCATTTCCTCAACCAGATCTTGTGGAGAAGGGTGAAACTCACGTTGGTCTGTGGCGTCTTCGAGGGTGTGCTTCAGCATGTTGACCCTAACAAGATTGTTGTCCTGAAGAAAGGTCTTATTCTATTTCTCATAATGTTCTGCCTTTGAAGAGATTAATGATTGAGTTTCAGTGATAGGTTTAGGCTCCATTAGCAATTGGGAGGGTGGCATTATTCCTATTTTAGGGAAGGTGTGGGAGGAAGGTTAGAATACTGTTTTTCCCAAACAGAATAATGTGACCATATATGCTGGTTTGTCCCTACTTCTATACTTTTGACATGATAGCAGGAATTTTCAATATAGTTTTTTAAATTAAAAAAACATTTTTTTAAATTTGTTTTTTGTTGTTGAGATAGAGTCTTGCTCTGTCGCTCTGTCTGAAGTGCAGTGGCATGATCCTGGCTCACCGTAATCTCCACCTCCTGGGTTCAAGCAATTCTCCTGCTTCAGCCTCTCAAGTAGCTGGGATTACAGGTGCATGCCACCACACCTGGCTAATTTTTGTATTTTTCATACAGACAGGGTTTCACCATGTTGGGCAGGCTGGTCTCAAACTCCTGATCTCAGGTGATCTGTCTACCTCAGCCTCCCAAAGTGCTGGGATTATAGGCATGAGCCACCACGCCCAGCGCCCCAACCCCCCTTTTTTTTTTTTCTGAGATGGACTCTTGTTCTTGTCACCCAGGCTGGAGTGCAGTGGTGCCATCTTGGCTCACTGAAACCTCCATGTCCGAGGTTCAAGCAGTTCTCCAGTCTCAGCCTTCCAAGTAGCTGTGTTTACAGGTGCCCACCACCACGCCAGGCTAATATTTGTATTTTTAGTAGAGACAGGGTTTCACTGTGTTAGCCAGGCTGGTCTCAAACTCAGGACCTGAGGTGATCTGCCCACCTCAGCCTCCCAAAGTGCTGGGATTACAGACATAAGCCACTGTGCCCGACCCTTTAATTTCTTTCCATATGCATTTTGAAATTAAATATAACCACCATATTAGTTAGAATTGCTTTTGACTTCAGCAGATGAGTTCACACAGTAAGGGGTTAATTTTTCTCATACAAAAAGTACGAGGTAGGCAGCTGAAGAATAGTGCAATGGCTGAAAGACACCAGCAGAGACCAGGTGCATTTTGCTCCTGCTCTGCCACGTCAGTGATCATCTCTTATACTCATGGTCACCAGTAGAGCCTCTACACCTCCCAGCTTCAATTCCTGTTTATCATAAAGGATAAAGCTCAAGAACAGGCAAATGCAAGAGATACATAGGGCAATCTTGTTTTTTATTTTTATTTTTTTTAAGACAAAGTCAGGCTCTGCTACCCAGGCTGGATTGCAATGGCATGGTGTGATCACGGCTCATTGCAGCCTCAGCTACCCAGGGTCAAGTGATCCTCCCACCTCAGCCTCCTGAGTAGCTGGGACTACACTTGTACAACACCTCACCTGGCTAATTTTTTTAATCTTTATTTTTTGTAGAGACAGGATCTCCCTGTGTTGCCCAGGCTGGTCTTAAACTCCTGGGCTTAAGTGATTCTCCATGACCTCCAAAATGCTAATTTTATGTTAATATTTTTTTCTGATTTAATGTGTTTTTTTTTTATGGTGGAAGGGAGATGGAATTTCCATGTCCTCTTTGGTTGTGCCACCCTCCCAGTACCTCCATGTCTGGTAATCTGGAAGCTTCAATATATAGAGTTTCCTGGTATCATAAGTTTCAGATTCATCATTGAAACATGTATAAATTGCATTTGATAGGTTAATGTTATTAAGCCACATTTTGAGTTAAAATAGACTTTTATGGGCTAGGATGGGATTATAACAGGTTTCTGCAACATTAATTTATTTAGTAATCATGTATTGATTGTTTTGTGTCTCAGGAACTCTGCTTGGTACCAGGGACACATATAGAAAGAAGGTGTTCCCTGTTCTCAAAAAACCTAGTCAGGGCTATAATCCCAGCTATCTGGGAGGGTAAGGCAGAATTGCTTGAGGCCAGGAGTTTAATATGAGCCCAGGCAACATAGCAAAACTACATCTGTAAAAAAAATTTTTTTAATTAATTTTTTTTCTTTTTAAAAACTGAGATGGAAGCAGGACGTGATGGTTTACGCCTGTAATCCCAGCACTTTGGGAGGCTAAGGCGGGCGGATCACCTGAGGTCGGGAGATCGAGACCAGCCTGACCAACATGGAGAAACCCCATCTCTACTAAAAAAAAAAAAAAGAATAAAAAAATTAGCCAGGCATGGTGGCACATACCTGTAACCCCAGCTGCTCAGAAGGCTGAGGCAGGAGAATCGCTTAAATCTGGGAGGCGGACGTTGCAGTGAGCCGAGATAGCGCCATTGCACTCCAGCCTGGGCAGCAACAGCAAAACTCCATCTCAAAAAAAAAAAAAAATTGAGATGGAGATTGAGTCTCACTATGTTGCCCAGGTTTATCTCCAGCTTCTGGGCTCAAGGGATCCTCCCATCTCAGCCTCCTGAAGTTCTGGGATTATAGGCATGAGCCATCACACTCAGCCCCCAACAAAAAAAATGTTTTTTGACAGAGTCTCACTCTGTCACTCCGGCTGGAGTGTAGTGACACTATCATGGCTCATTGCAACCTTGACCTCCTGGGCTCAAGTGATTCTCCTGCTTCAACCTCCTAAATACCTGGGACTATAGGCATGTACCACCAAGCCGAGTAAATTTTTTAAATTTTTTGTAGAGATAGGGTCTCCCTGTGTTGCTCAGGCTGGTCTTGAATTCCTGGGCTCAACCGGTTCTCCCACTCAGCCTCCAAAGTGCTGTGATTAGAAGTGTGAGCCACCACATCCAGCCTAAAAAACAATTTTTTAAAAAATTAGCCAGTCTTGGTGGCTCACACCTGTAGTCCCAGCTATTTGGAGCTGACGTGGGAGGATCACTTAAGCCCAGCAGTTTGAGGCTGTAGTGAGCTATGACCATGCCACTGCACTCCAGCCTGGGCAACAGAGCAAGACCCCCATCTCTAAAAAAAAAATTTTTTTTTAATTAAAAACTTACTCTAAAAGAAGAAAAAAAAAACTTACTCTAGTAGATAGATAGGTAGACAGGTATAATGGAGTGTGAGATCCTCTCTGATAGGCTGGTCCAAGTGCAGTGGTGTTTACAACTAATTGATCACAACCAGTTACAGATTTCTTTGTTCCTTCTCCACTCCCACTGCTTTACTTGACTAGCCTTATATAAATGTTAAAAAAATAAAAATAAAAATAAAAAAGAGAGATCCTCTCTGATAGAAAGATGCAAAGGATGCTATGAAAACCAAAGATTCAGCTAATTTGGATCTAGAAGTGCTTGAATTAGGACAGTGGAGTGATCTTCTAAAGGAGGAATTGGTGGTGGAACGCCATCTGGTTGAGTAGGAGTCAACAATGGGAAAGGGACCCGGAGTGATGGCTCATGTCTGTAATCCCAGCACTTTGGGAGGAATCTTGGCTCACTGTAACCTCTGCCTCCCAGGTTCAAGGGATTCTTCTGCCTTGGTCTCCTGAGTAGCTGGGATTACAGGCACATGCCACCATACCCAGCTAAGTTTTGTATTTTTTAGTAGAGGCAGAGTTTCACCATGTTGGCCAGGCTGTTCTCGAACTCCTGACCTCGGGTGATCCACCTGCCTCGGCCTCCCAAAATGCTGGGATTTACAGGTATGAGCCACTGCACCTGGCACAGTTTGAAAATCTTTAGTAAGTCTGTTCTTAGTTGAAAATATGAGTGAAGATGAGAAAAATAGTTCACACTGGAGAAAAAAGGGATGTCAGGACAACTAAGAAGTGGATATGATCATTCAAAGAGAAGGAAAAAGGATGAGAGACAAAACACTGGGGACCATCAATGTACAAGGGGCAAGTAGAGGTGTGGAGACTGGAGCAAATCAGAGAGCCACTGTAACAGTGGTTATAAGAAAGAGTATTGCCAGGCAGGGTGGCTCACAGCTGTAATCCTACAACTTTTGAGGGGCTGAAGGGGGAGGATGGCCTGAGCCCAGGAGTTTGAGACCAGCCTGGGCAACATAGTGAGACCCAATCTCTACCAAAAAAAAAAGAAAAATAGTCAGGCATGGTGGCACCTGCCTGTAGTTCCAGCTATTCGGAAAGCTGAGGAGAAGGATGGCTTAAGCCCAGGTGTTTGAGGCTGCAGTGAGCTAGGATTATGCCACTGCACTCCAGCCTGAGCAACAGAGTAAAACCCTGTGTCAGTTAAAAAAAAAAAAAAAAAGGCATATTAAAATCACTGAGTCATGAATTTGACTCCTGACTGTTTTTTGCTAGCAGTGGTACCTTGAGCTAGTTATTCAACCTTTCAGAGCCACAGAGTCCTCCATAACTGAAATAATGAAATTCTTATTATGTTACTAGAAAACTGAGTATAGGGAAATAGCATGATGCCAGCCAGGCACGGTGGCTCACACCTGTAATCCCAGCACTTTGGGAGGCTGAGGCGGGCGGATCACGAGGTCAGGGATTCGAGAGCAGCCTGACCAACGTGGTGAAACCCTGTCTCTCTCTCAAAATAATAAATAAATAAGAAAACAAAAAGAAATAGCATGATGCCTGGCTCAGTGGGTGCTCAATATGGTAGCTCTAGGTAATTAGTAGGAAAAGAATTACAATGTCTTTTTTTTTTTTTTTTTTTTTTTTTTTTTTTNGGCTCACCGCAACCTCCGCCTCCTGGGTTCAGGCAATTCTCCTGCCTCAGCCTCCTGAGTAGCTGGGATTACAGGCACGCACCACCATGCCCAGCTAATTTTTTGTATTTTTTAATAGAGACGGGGTTTTACCATGTTGACCAGGATGGTCTCGATCTCTTGACCTCGTGATCCACCCGCCTCGGCCTCCCAAAGTGCTGGGATTACAGGCTTGAGCCACCACGCCCGGCCTAGAGATTTTTTTTAAAATAAAACTCAGACTTGGGAAATTTTGAGAGGCATCATATTTTCATAGAGTTTTAGGAAACGATTATTTGTTATTAACCGAATGAACTGTTTTCTCTAACAGTGAAGAATGTGGAGACAGGTCGGAGCATCCCAGGAGTGAAGATGTTTTTTGGGCATGAGATTGTGAATGGTGAGACCCCCATGGTCCTTGAATGCTAATACTGAGATTTCCAGCAGTAGTAAACTTACTTCTGTGCCTCATTCCAATATTTGAAATGAAATAGGATATTGTCTTGCCTTTAATGTTTCACTTATGATTTCTTAAAGTTGGTATTTGATAATTGACCCTTTTCTTACTGTTTCTGTGGGCACCCTGTGAGTAGAATAGTCTTACTGAATTATAATCATTTTGGTTTTACAATGTCAGGTCTGTTGGTGCTTATCACTAGTGACTTGGGCCAGCAGGCAGTTAGGAATGTGAACAGGAAGGGATTGTCTTGCTAAGCAAGCTATTTAAAATGCTACCATTTTACAGTCCATTCACAATTCCTCATCAAAAACCTTGGAGCCAGATGTCTCAGAATCAAGAATTGTTCTGGACTTTTGGAAAATGTAACAGCGTATATAATGTTCATATTACATAACACTTCCAGAAAATCTGGGCAGTACTCTACAGTACTCTATAATACAACACATTTCTCCAGAGAAATGGGTGGACAATCATACTAAGTGGAATAAAATCAGACTATACATAGCATATCAGGTCCAGTTCTGCCACCAAAAGTTACACAAAATTTTGGTTTTCAGAGCTTTTTGGACTTTGGAATAGCAGGAAAGCCTTATTCTTTATTTCTGCTAGCACAAACCATTTAGCAAGAGTAGTTACAATTGTCTGAAATGTCTTGCTTTCAAGGACTCACGAGCTTTCTGCTTCTGCCCTTTAAGGAGGAGTACAGATCAGGAGCTGGGTAGAGGGGGCAGAGGAATGAGAGTTCTGGGACCTCTTAGGGCTGTGCACTTCTCACTTTGGGGCAGATTTGAGGAAAGGAAAGGACTCCTATAAATGAGGCTTTACTACTGCTTGAAAGATTGCTTTGCTTTGTAAGAAAACTAGAATTTAGGAGGAAATGAAAATCTCATCAAATTAATGACTGCCAATCCTGAGCCACTTCAGGTAATATAAGTCTGGTCAGCTACCTAACTATTCTTTCTCATTGAGTATGCTGTCATGAACACTCTGTCCCTTGAATACTCTTTTATAATGATAGGGATAGTGGTGGTAGTTGGAGATCTTAATTGTATTTTCACTATCAGCCTTTGCAGTGAAACAGAGCTCTGGACTGGGGCAAAGCTAGGCTGTGAATGGGTTTGTAGAGAGAAGTGAAGGAATCACTACTATCATTTCCCCAACTGAGAAGGCTGAAGGCTGTCCAGCTTTTTGATTTGTACACACGGAATTCATTGCCTCCTAAATTCTTATCCAGGATTTGGCCTTCGTTCATCCTTTTTTTTTTTTTTTTTTT